AGCAGGACTTTTTGGCACTTTTATCCAATAGCTGAATCGGATGGGAAGGGATGGGGGTGCAGATCAAGCCCCTCCCCCCCCTCTCTCCCCACCATGGTGAGGGGGGGAATGGGGCTAGGGCACAGACAGAGGCTGCCCAGCCAGGGCAGGGCAGGGCAGAGCACGGGACAGAGCTGCAGGCAGCTCATCTGGGGGCACAGGGAGGGGGGCAGCTCCTGCTGCTGCACACACCCCTGGGGAAGGCATGGGGGACACATGCCCCCTGGATTTGTGTACAGAGCTAGGGCAAGTTATCCGCCATGGGCTTGGGGCCAGGGGCTGCACTGGCCTCTTCGTGGCGGGGGACTGGGTCAGGGCAGGTGACAGCAGCGCTGGGAGAAGTTCTATGGGGGGGCTATCATGAATTTTGGAGTGGCTGGAGCTTCCCCGCCCCCCCCCCCCCCCCCCGCCACTGCCTGCCCTGAACACAGCTTGAGCCCAGCCCTCCCCCCACCAGGAAGAGGCCGCAGTGGGTAGCCTACCCTCACCCCACGCATCAATCTGGGGGGCACATCCCCCCATGAGTCCCCAAGGGTACGCACAGCACGGGGAGCTCCCCCCCCCAGCCCCTGCATGAGCCACCTGCAGATCCATCCCATGCCCCGCCTTGGCTAGGCAGCACCTGCCCTGCCTCATTCCCTCCCTCACTGTGGGGGCCTTGATCTGCGCCCCCACATGCCCCTTTCCACTCACAGACTTACCCGTCGGATGCTGCTCTCCAAGCTGCTAGGCTGCATATCAGCAATCAGATGGGTATTGGCCGGTACGGCTGGTTAATAATCAGCCTTTGGTATCGGTCCAAAAAAATCTTTATCGGTGCACCCCTACTGACAAATGGTTCCTCCTTCTCTTAGGTTTACCACATTCCCAATGAACAGCAGAAATGCTACAAACTTGCCATCAAAATGGGACAGTTCTCCAGAAATAATTAGCTATACTACCAGTGAGCAATACCTAAAATAGACATTCTAGCTTCATATTCTCCATGAATTAAAAAGTTCAATGATAAAAGCTTCCCTTTTCCTTCATCTTCACTTTGCTCCAAATGAGAATATTCATCTTTAAATATTATAAAGCCCTGTAACTTTTAGTTGAATTAGGATGTCTTCTTTGTGGGAAAGAATATTTCTTTCATCTATAGGATTTGCTCAATTAAATTCCATGTCCCATTTCAATGAAGAACTCAAACAACATATAGAGCCATAATTAACCTTTCTGATCTTAATCTATCAATACAGATCCTAAAGTTGTCCTCTCTAATCTCACTGAGTAAAGGAGAGCTCATACTCAAAAGGTTACCACACAATATATTAAAACACACACGTGCATAATATTGTCTTTCTAGCATTTTGCACTCTCTTTGGTGAAGCAAAAGGAAATCTGACATGGCATTTATCCTGAAAACCCTTGAATAAAAATTCTGTTTCTACAAATCTTTTCTACACATACGATCAGCCACAAGAGACAAGAATTAAGATGAAGGTCACCCACTTCCACACCGAGAGTTCAACCCACCTTAAAGAACCCTGAGTAAAGCAGAATTCCTCTCTCTCTCTCACATGTACACAATGTCAAAACATATAAACAATGAATATCTGCACTGAGTATCATATCAAAGCACTATGCAGATATGAATAATAGAACATACTTTGAGGTTTCCTTCATTATCTTTAAGTCACTGAGTAGTTTTAGAAGGCAAGATAGTAATGATATTTTCTTCCTTAAAGCAACATGGAAAAGGTAAGAAAAAGACAGAAGAAACAGATTTTCTTGCATGTTGGAAGATAGTGTACTTAAAAAAAAAAAAAATACAGCTGATATTTAGAAATACAGATCCAGAATTTGTGCAATTATCAACAAAAAGCTATGAGTAAGTTTTGAAGACATGGAAGATGGAACTGAAATTAAGATTCTTTTAACCACTCACTGCACTGAAATTCTGTAAGGAAATCACCTAACACAATTCTTGATTCAGTGTTCAAAATTATCTGTAACATTTCAGTGTTCAAACACATCTGTAACCATCTTGATTCCTCTCTCTCCCATGGGACATGGGCAACCAATGTAGACACGTGCTAATAAAAATATATATTTGTGCATTTGATTTTTCCTCCTTTTTGCTCCAGCACACTGAGGAAGGGTGCTGGGGCAGCAGGGCCATGGAGCAGCTATTGAGACACCCTGGTGGGTGCTAAAGCATAGCTATGAAGCACCCAGCCTCCGGTTGCTTCAGTGGACCTTCCTGCACTTTTTTTCTGTGGTTGGTTTTTGGGTTTTTGGTTTGTTTTGTTTTTTTTTTTTGATACTAGGATTTCCAAACTGATTGACTGTATGCTTCAGTATCTTTCCTGGTATTCAAGTTTGAGCAACTGAACTGTAATTTCTTGGCTTTTTCCTTTTCTTTATTGATGGACACTATATTTGCCTTTTTCCAGTTTTCTGGAACCTCACCTGACTTCCACCAGTTCTCAAGCATCAAAACCAACAGCTCTGGCATTAAATCAGAGAACTGTGTGTTCCAGGGACTCATGAACACCATCGGTGTGGCACATGCTGGCCCCAGAGAAATGTACACAAGCATCCTTGCTGGTGAGCTTCTGGTTTGAATCAGTCTGAGAGCATGGAGTGGACTTGGACCTGTTGTGGCTGGGATATGCCAACATCTCAGTGTAAACAAACACAAGGAAAGCCCACATTAGGCTCAGTTGATATGAAAACATCTAACTTACACAAGTTCTTTAATATGGAGTCTATGCTGAGTTCCTATGCTACCCGTGATGCTACCTTTGCTTGTTATTTGATAGCTGATTTTTTTATTTTGGAAAAAATTGAAGTAAAGTCATTGAATATTTCAGTCTTTTCCCACATAATCTGTCATTAGCTTTTCCTCAAACAGCAAGGGTCAGATGTTTTACTTGTTCTTCCTCCCACTTCTAACACATTTTATATAATGCTGTTTTGGTACCATTTTCATGTTCTTTGCCAGCCATGTATCACTTTATGCCTTGGCCTTGCCTTGCTGACTTTCTCCCTATATGTTTGTATGGACTCTTAATCTCACCTGTAGCAACACAGCCAAGTGCCTGTGTTTTGTGCAATTCCTTTTTTGCGTCTAGTTTATGTCACTTATCCACTTAAGAAAATGTTTGTAAGGCCACTGTTTTGGGATCGCTTTAGTCCAACTGCCCAGCCTGATGCCAGATATTCATAAGTGATGTCCACCAACAACTGCAATTTAAATCAGTACAACCCACATGGACCAACACTGATGTAAGCTAAAAGCTTTAAGGTGAGCACTCAGAGTCAAAGGTCATCTCCAACTCCACACTTTAATACTGTGGAGTACAACTCTTACTTCATGTACAAGGGTTTAGTATTATATTTACTACATTTGCATTACACTATTGCTACTTTTCTTCCTATTTGATTCTAGCATCAGGATTGAGAAGCCCAAAAGGTTGCCCATATACAAGAAAGCACATTTGAAAAGCTATACACAGATACACAGCTATAAATATAAGCATCTCAAACACAGGTTCTCTTTGTTGCAAATATGTAGCAGAGGTAGCTGCCCTAAGCCGTCTTCTTTATTAACCACAGGGTCATATAACCCTGCCTCACCAATCTGATTAAAATGTCAAACTTGTTTCTTTTGAAATTTGCAATAAAAAAAAAAACCCAACAAAAAACACACCTTTGGTTTGTCTCATACCTATATACATACCCACTCACCCCCAAAAGGCACATCCCCATAAGCGCACACGTGAGTTTCCCTGGGGACAATGAGCAGCAGCACGTAACACTGTGTGCTGCTACTGTCCCCAGGGAATGCCCCCTCCCCCC